AGCTCACGTAGTAAAGGACAGACGCTGGACTAGGCTAGAGCAGTGAGCATTTTGGAGCCGAGAGGCACGGGGATGGTGGTATGTGGGCATGCCTTCTCATCTCTTCGCAGAGACCTGGGACAGAGGGGCGCTGAGGGTGAGGGAGGGACGCTCTCCAGACCAGGGGAGGACCCCCTTCTGTGTAGCACCTGGGGAGAATCCTGTTCCATCCTTTCCGAACCCTGCATCACACCTGCCACTTCTCACAGCCAGGTCCGGAGCACACAGCAGAGCCTGGCTCCAGAAGGAGGGGCTTGGGGCAGACTTCTTCTCACGTAACTGCTGTACTCTGACTATAGTTAGTCTTGGAGTCTGATTTGAATTAGGCCCAAACCGCAAGCCATGGGGGGAATTATTAAGAGGATGTGACTATGTATTATTCCTTGGATCCTCACTTAGGTCTCAGTAAGTGCTCGTGGAGAAGAAAATGACAGATCCTGAAGACCTAGCCCCACAGGCTCCGGTCTGCTGCTGTGGGGGAGCGGGGGGAGCGGAGGACCTCACACTGTTCTTCGGGTGAATGAAGAGGAGGCCACCGTCCTTCAGCTGAGGCAGGGTTTCCACAGAGGCTTTCAGCATCCGTGGTAGTTCCACCAGAGAACCCGAGAGCTGTGGTGACAGCAAGGGGTGGGGGGCATTCTGCACCCCACACCCCCCAGTTAGTCACCGGTTTACAGGTCTAAGAGTTGAGTTCCTCACCTGAGAAAACTGGGTCAGGCAGGGTCCTCGCCCACCTTTGTCCCCCATCACATTCTCCACTCTCCGGGACTCTGGTCAAAGTCCGCCTTGAGGTGGGTTGTCAGAGGATGCTGCTGACGGACATGGCAACAAGTTATCCATTTAGTCCATTTAGCGAGGATCCACCATATACCTGCATATATCCATGTCTTTTCTTTTTAAAGATTTATTTATCTGAGAGAGAGAGAGCGCGCACAAGCAGGGGGGAGGGGCAGAGAGAGGGAGAGAGAGAATCCCAAGCAGACTCCGTGCTGAGCACGGAGCCCAACAGGGGGCTTGATCCCAGAACCCTGAGATCATGACCTGAGCCGAAATCGAGAGCCGGGCGCTCAACCGACTGAGCCACCCAGGCGCCCCTGCGTATTTTCATTTCTAATTCTTAATACACATTTTCAAGTTTGAATCTAGAAGCACAGAAGTATGTAAAATGATCAGTCCTCGATCGTAACGGACAACAGCAGCGTCATGTGGAAGCTAACAGCACGTGCTCCAGCCCTGCCCTCTTAGTCACACAGAACTTCCCAACAAGTAGCTTAGATGACTGTCTCAGAGGGCTGGCTTTGGTGAGAGCCCTAGAAGTGTTCCCCCATCGAGGGGAATATTGACAAGAGCTAAGGAACAGAAACTTTAAAAAGATTCCAAAGTCACAGGACAATTGTCAGGAAGGTAAGGCGGGAAGATCCCCCAATTAACTCCATTAACGTAACACAACAAGATGTATTCTGTCAATAAGCTGGGCCATTTCCAATTGATAATTAGGTCCACACGGACCTCATCTCCTTACTCTCGATTTATCAAGCACATCTTTTCTGTCCTGTCCTTGCAGAACTTGCAGAACACACCGTTAAAGCAGTAGATAGCGAGCTTTTGCAGCTACGGGCAACTTGGGAAGATCAAAAGTTCTGGAGGTCAACCTTCTCCCCCAGAACAAATCACTGGATTTAATCAGGAGGATAGAGCAACTTTGGATGGGAAGAAATGTCTCCATTTTTTAAAGCGTCCTATGTAGATACGATTTATATAAAGTCCTTGGGTGACCTCCTCACACACACAGCTTCAACGTATAAGATTCAGTCCACATCTCTAGCTCAGAACTTTTTTTTTTTTAAGATTTTATTCATTTATTTTAGAGAGAGAGCACGAGCAGGGGAACCGGTACAGGGAGAGGGAGGAAGAATCTCAAGCAGACTCTGAGCTGTGTGCAGAGCCCGACACAGGGCTGGATCCCATGACCCTGAGATCATGACCTGAGCCGAAACCAAGAGTCAGATGCTTGACGAAGAGTTGGATGCTTAGCCACCCAGGCGCCCCTCTAGCTCAGAACTTTCTATCAGGCTCCAGATCCATGGCTCCGAGTGCCTTCCAAGGGCGGCTCACATTTGACCTCAGCACGCACGCATGCGTGCACACACTCACACACTTCCTGTCCTACATCTAAATTTTAGTAAATGATATCTGCATACTCAGGTTCCGGAACCAGGCAGTGAAAGAAGCATACTTGAGGCACAGCAGGCCAGCTCTGGTTTGTTGGAATGTGGATTATTTGCACTTGCAGCCTGTCACTTTCTCTCTGGCCACGCCCCACAGGCTGCGCCTTCCTTCTGCACCACCTCTGCTCCTTCCTTCACCTGGCTCTGTTACGCAAAGGCCCTCTGCCCTAACGCGAGGGTCTCACCAGCTTGATCGACAGAAATCAGCCGAGGGACTTTTAAAACCAAAAGATTCCCCCCAACCTCTGCCCCGGGAGATGCTGATTCCGCAGGACCAAGGTGGGACCTAATCCACCGTGGACACCATAGAATTCCGTCTGAACCCCAGTGCACAGCAGGAGGGGCAGGGCTGCTTCGTAACTCCCCGAACTTTGGGACCCCTGTTCAGGCAGTGATGGCGCCATCTGTGTTTGTGCATGCTTGGGCACACACACACACACGCACTGTGCACAGATACATACACAAGCGCCTGTCCGTACACAGAAACACATGTGCATGCACACGTACACACACGTTTTATATCTGGGGCACCTGAGCCCAGGTCATCCTAAGTGCATGGCTTTTGGTCGCCTCCTTAAGGAATGTTCACCGAACAGTTACTCACTGCGCCCTGCTCCCTCCACGCCAGCCCCCACCTCCCTTCCTCCTGGCCCTTGCAGCAGGCTCCTTAGTGGTCTTTGGGAGTGCAGATCAGAGCTGCCAGAGGATCTCAACACCTTCAGTCACTCTGTGGAAAGCTTGGACCTCTCAGCTCAAAGAGCAGTGTTCACTGGGTACCTGGGGCTCGCGCTGGCTCCCCCTCCAACGGCCATGTGTCAGAAGCACCCTTCACCACGTGCACATCTTTATGGTGACATCTTTGTTTCCAGGTGGGATTCCTTTCTTAATCCAAAATGAAATCACTAAGTCAAAGGTGCGAATATTTTGAGGATCACTTTCCTGTAAGGAAATACCAGCTTACACTTACTTCCCCTGGAGTCCATGCATTGGTCCATTTTACTGCTCCCTCACTAGTTTTGGAAATAATCATTAAAAAACAAAGCAAAACAAAACCCAAAACTCAGCTGATTTGATTATGTTCTGTTACTACAGTTTCATTTTTCAAGTCTTTGGTTATTGGCAAAATTGAGCATTTTTCACTTGTATTGCTCATTTGTAATTTTTTCCCTCTGTCCTCTGAACTTTGGACTATTAAGTTTCATCTTTCTCTACTAAAACCTTTTCCCGACTTCGTGGTCCCAAAGTGTAGTCACTGGACCAGCAGCATCAACATCACCCAAGACCTTGTTAAAAATCCAAATTCTCAGGGCCTCTCCCCCACCAGGCCTACTAACCAGAAACTGGGCGGGGGGGGGGGGGGGCGGGTAGGGCCCAGCCCTCTGCTTTAACAAGCCGTCCAAGCCTCCAGACTACCCTATCCCAGACAGAGTGATAGAGAATTCATCTTGAGCCCAGGTACATAACAGGAGGGACCCACCTTGCATGACTTAGCACAGAGGATAAGACTGCACACTCTGGAACTAGCCTGCCCGAGTTCATAGCCTGGGTCTACCAGTTACTAGCTGTGTGATTTTAGACAGATGGTTTAACCTCTCTGGGCCTCAATTTCTTCAATCAAATAGGGATAGGGACAAACCGCCACTGTGGACATTGAAATTATCACACGCTCATGGGCCTGAGGCCTGGAATAGATGAGGTCGGATCTTAAAGAAACTTGACCATCAGGAAGCAGGAGGTCTTATAATAGATATAATGCCCCGTACTCTTGTTCCCACCCCCTAAAATTCTTCCTTCCGCCAACCCAACCCAGCCTTCTCAGACTTCACAGGTCCTTCCTCCCCTGTCAGGGCTGTCAGAAGGACCGTGAGACACAGCCAATATTGAGAAAAGCTCTTGAACTCATTTTGGGGATACCACTCATCTCTAATGGTTAAAATGGGTTTATAATTCTCATTTTTATAACATTCTATGTCTTAAAGCAGCCTTCTCATTGAAGGTTCCTAGGAGTCATTTTTTTTTTTTTTTAAAGAGGAGTTCCCCTCGTTCACTAAGTTTGTGAAATACTCATACGGCTAGGTTAGATGCATGAGCTCATGCTACTGTGGGTGATAAATCTTCACAGGCGAGAAGTTGCGTACAGAGTTTCCCGGAGATTTGGACTCTGCTGCCACTTTGTAAAGGAATATCTCCTAGGGTCAGTGTTCCATGGAGAACGCTTTGGGGAATGTTGTCTTGCAGGAGAAGGAAAACCCAGTGTTGTATAAGAACATTTTATGTAGGAGAGAATAGAGATAGTTTTTCTCTTTAAAAAAGTAGCAAACGGGAGAGGGGAGGTGTTTTTTGCGTCTCCCAAAAAAAGACTGAATTTTCAGTGCTTTAGAAAAATGAATTGAATCCCCTTCTTCTGCCCCACTACGCACCCTACATGAGACTCTACTGTGGTACTCATTTAGTATTTTCCCACAGGAGAGACTTGCCAAGTTTTTCCAAGACCAGGCAATTCTTGGAGGGCAAGGAAGCCATGATCTCTTCACGCTAGTCTCCTCTCTGTGAATATTTCCAGATATTGATCGTGTTTGCAGGTGCCTCGTACCTGGGTCTTCTCATCTTTCCTACTCAAGAGAATTGAAAATGCCGTCAACCTCACTTCTCTCTCTCTCTCTCTCTCTCTCTCCCCCCCCTTCTCCCCCCTCTCCCTCTCCCTCACCCCGTGTTCCCTCCCTCGCCCTCCAGGAACCTTCTGCATCATTTCACTGTGCACCTGTGTGGCTGGAATCAACTTCGAGCTGTCACGCTACCCACGCTACCTGTATGGACTCCCCGATGACATCAGCCACGGCTACGGATGGTCCATGTTCTGTGCGTGGGGGGGCCTGGGCCTCACACTAATCTCGGGATTCTTCTGTACCTTGGCCCCTTCTGTCCAACCTGTCCCGAGGACCAACTGCCCTAAATCCAGACCCGAGAATGGGACAGTGTGCTAAAAAACAAACCCATACATATATATATATATAAATATATATATAATATACATATATAAAACAAAACTAACTCAAGATGATGCCAGTGCCAAGGTAGAGTTGAGTTGGCTCAGGCACCCGCATCTCGTCGGACTTTGTGTTGCCTCATCTCCAGGATGGGGAAAGCGTTCCCATCATGTGGCTCTTCCATCCCTTCTTAACTTTTGGCTCCATGGTTTCTTGAAGACAGAACGAACATCACCCCCCCCCGTGGTAGTGTCCTGATTCCCGTCCCTCACAAGGATGGGGTGGTGGGCCGGGAAGGGACATGTCGCCAGTGGTGTCTGAAGCGGCACGGATGTAGAGAAGGTGGTGCCGTCCATTGGGCCCGCAGTGAGGACACCACCCCAACACCGATCATATCGCAGAGAAACAAAGCCTGTACGTAGTTCATAGAATGTAACCAGATCTTTGAGGTCATTTGCAGAGCCACTTCTCCTGACCTTCCTGTTCTGGTTCCCTTCCTGGCCCACCAGCGACACACGAGAAGTGGAAGAGAAAACAGCGCGAGAAGGAAGTTTTCTCTTCGTTGCCAAACTTTTGGACCAAGCTTTAGAGGTGGGAAGGGGGAGAGAACAATGTGCTGAGAGGCAAGATCCACGTCAATAAAAGGACACTTCAGTGGATGCTCAGAAAACCCAGTCTTACCTTCCAGCTGCCTTATACCCAGTTAAACAAGAGGCCGCCCTGCCCCTGACCACACCTGCCGTCCTGCTCGGGCAGACTGGAGCCTTGGAGTAACGCTGTGATGTGTGCGTGTGCGTGTGCGCGTGCGTGTGCGTGTGTGTGTGTGTGCGTGTGTGCATGCAAGATGACTCCTGGTGGTGTCCTTTTTTTCCTTTTCACCTTTTAAAATGGAAATACTGCATCATGACTGTTGTCTCCATCATTTGTGGTGGTTTTGCAGCCCAGGGCGGAGGCCCGAGACCAAGGGAGAATAACGAAGGGGCAAGCCAGTGCGGGTGCCCGTTCCGTAGCTTCGGATCCCTGGCGTGTGTGCGTGCGGTGGATGTTCTGGTTTTAGCGTTTGTGTTGTATTTTTCTATTATTTGTAATGTGCAGCTGAAATTCCCAGAGGGCAGAACCAAGAACAAACCCATTGGGCCTCAGAGGACCCCGTGGTCCTTCACATCACAGTTCTGGGATGCTGCAGGGTTTAGTCCTGTAAATCTGGAAGTTCAAGACAAAGCTGGGCACCAAAGCCATGCGAGAAGATGGGGAGCACTGTTCAGGAGGGAGAAGGAACGTTGCCTCTGTTGCTGTTGTACAAGTATGTACCAAACCAAACCAGACCTTCACTCCCCATCGTGGAAGCTGTCCTTTGTCACTGGACATCTACCCCTCTCCTAGGGGCGACCTCTGTACAGATGAAAGAAAATGGGTCACATGCAGAGAGAGCACCTCCATGTCCCATGGGCTCGAGTTTGTATGATATTGTGTAAATTAATGGAGAACTCTTGACTCTTTCCATCTTCTTCCTTTTCCTCTTGATATTCAAGGCCATGCATCCCCTAATAGCTGTCGTAGTGGCTAGCCCCCAAACAGAGGTGGCATAAGTCCAGCCCAGTGTCTCAGGCTCATTTGAGCCAATTGGCCCCGCAGGTGTTGGCGAACCACGAAGTCAGCCAGAGTCGTGGAAGCTGTAGGGACGAGCATCTGCTGGGAAGAGTGGGCAGGAGCCGCTGACAGTCACCTCGGGGACCTTGCGGGGGCTGCGCAGCCCTGGGGAGGCAAAGAGTGAATCCCCGAGCTGCACAGTCATGGGTCAAACCATGCAGCTGAGAATTCAGTTGCTTCATAATGGAGAGTGCTTGGGGCACTTTGCCAACAGCAGGCTCCACAGCCTTCCTTCCCATCCAAGCACCTGTTTCGTCTACCTGTCTTCCGATCCACCCTCCTACCAGTCCCACCTTCCTCACCTACTAACCACCTCTCCCTCTTCTATCCACCAGGCTACCAGTCCTGCCTGTCTCCTCATCTGCTCTTTCTGACTCTGTGTGTGTGTGTGTGAGTGTGTGTGTGTGTGTGTGTGTGTAATTCACATCCAGATAGAACATCCCATGTGCATGAATGGCCTGAATGTGGGTGTCTGTATATGCGTAGTCCTCTGGTGCATTTTCTGTGTGTTTGTATCAATATAACCCGGACGCGGGTTTGGATGTACTACTCAAGGCTTCCTTCCCAGCAACACTGGGCAGCTTCTGCAAAAGGTCTCATGTGTGCGTGCCCCTTGTAAGGGTGTGCTGAGAGATGTGGGATGAGGTGTGGAGCAGGAAATGCTATTACCTTCCAATTGGGCTTCTAAGGATTTTTAAAATAAAGGATTTATTCTGTGAGAAGAGAAACCATTTTCAGGAAAACCCAATTTTGCCATTGTATATGGAATTTAAAGAAAATTTTTCTTGAAGAGTTAGATTTCCCCCTTCGAGGCATACTAGGGCTTGAGGAAAATTGAGAAGCATCCCAGATTGAGAGGCCTTGTATCTTTCTTCCAAGTGTCTTGAGTGGGCTCCACCAAGCAGGGAAGGGCAGGTGTCCATGAGCATCTCTTTGGGGAACAGAGGGCTTGTCTGTGACCAGACCCAAACTCCACCTGTTTCCCAGCAGGAAAATGGGGAAAGCATTTCTAAAGGGGGCAACTTGATATCATTTAAACTTTTCTTAAGTAGCCATGTTTGAAGATACTGCCTCACCGACCTGTGACTATTTATATCTTCTTTTTTTTATCCCATGCTTGCCATAAATGGATCAGCCACTCTTTTCAGCTACTCATCTTTAGAATCGACCCTTAATACCACTTATTGTGTCCCTTCAAAACCTTCCTGAGATGTTAAGAGATTCCTAAGAAAGAAGTCAACCACCTGGGCTTACCTCACCAATAGGAGAACAGGAGCGTTGAGCCAGATAGGAACAGATTCACTCTGAGGTCTGATCCTGCTTGGGGCCAATAAAAAGCCTAAGCCACGTGGTCAGGATGGAAGCCCCGTACAGATGGCAGGTCCTTGCCTGGGTGGGCTCGATCCCTCCAACCTAGGGATCCAGGTTAAGACCTGCCACCCCGTGGTATCACTGAGGCAGTGGCCTGGCTGAGGAAGAAGAAAGGGAGGGGGGAGGGAGAAGGAAGAAGGAGCCTCTGCCAACTTCACCTCATAGTAGAACCCAACCTTCGGATGGGATTTAGGGTTAGCAGCCTCATTAAAGCCCCAGCCCTGACCCCAGGTCAGTTCAAATTCCTTAACAGGTGCGCGTGCAAGTTCTCTGACCATGGATGTGTTTTGAGCTCCGTGCGAATCAGCCTTAAGCATGGGGCCCATTTCAGCTTTCATTTCCTCCCTTACCCTGTGAGATTGGGGATTCAGGAAAGTGGAGTGTCTGCCTGGAAAGAGGTCCTGTTTCTTTCTCTCCCCATTTTGGGCGCTTTGGTTTCTCCATGTTTCCTTTTCCTCTCCCTCCACTCACTTCCACTTTCTTTCTGCATCAACTTGAAGTAGTTGATTAGAAGAGTTCAGGCATTTGTCTCCAGAGGGGCTCATTCTCACACTCCAAGCAGCCACCTTCCTCATCTGTTGTGGCTGTAGGCTTCAAAAGGAGGTCAGTAGCTTCCTGGCATTGAAATATTAAAAAAAAAAAAATCTAAATGTGCCTATTCCAGCTTCAGTCCTCCTGAAAGCCTCAGCCTTTCAATAAATACATCCTCTCAGCTTCAGGGATCACAAAGTCAGGAAGACTCAACATCTCCACCAAATCATGACAAAGCCTTCCTTGATCATGTGTCCATATGCAGCACCCTGAGCCCATTCTGGCATCTTCTCTCGTTGGGGGCGAGTGGCTCCACCTAATAATGTTTGCCTTTCCTTTGATAAGGGAAGACGATCTCCTGGAACTCCTGAGTATGGGTCCTACCTCGTAATAGTCCTCCACGGTCATGAGAAGAGGTCTGAAATGAACCATGCATAGTTGTTCTGATTTAATGGGGGATGTGCTGCTTAGGTCCCTAAAGCTGCCCCTCCCCTGGAGTCAGACTCAGCGTAATGAAATCAAGCACCCAGAGGCATTGACTCTGTCTTCACCTGGCTTATTCTGGGAGCCTTAATTAACTGGTTTTCAAGTGTCTGAGGGAAAGGAGTGGAAAGAAATACACTCTGGTCATCTTTGGTGTGGTTTGCGAGGGTTCCTTGGGTGATTCTTGCAGCTAAAGGGAAGCTGCCTTTTCGGAAACTGTTCCTCCTTGCTCAAGGGGCCAACCATCCCAGTGGACAAATGCAGCCCTCTGAGTCTAGGGAGAGGTGATTTCACCATATTTAGAAATCACTGGTGCCTCCCAGCCAGGTTGGCTCCTGTGCTGTCTTCTAGCTGGTATCCGGCAGAGTAAGGGGACAGGCTTTTAAACAAGCCCACCGGAGTTGATAGACACAAAAGATTCTGGTGTCTCTCAAAGCAGTCAGCTTGGTGGGCTGTGTTTTTACTCTTCCCATTGAGGCCCCCATGGTGCAAAATGTTTCTTAAGCATTATTGTTAGTTCTTAGACTACACTATTATTGGCTACTGGGTTACCTTTTCTGAATAATAGGAAACTGTAGAAAATTAGAAAAATAGAAAACAACAGCAACAAAAAGACTAAAGGATTGTTTATAATTCCATCACTCAGGGGCATCCTGATGGTCACAGCTCCAGCAGCTTCCAGCAACTTCTGGTTGTCTTGGGCTGGCAGTCGGGGCTAGGGGTGTAGTCCCAGACTGCAGAACCACACTGGTCTGCGTGGACTTGACCCTGTGTTCCTAGCAGAAGGAGACCGCAAAGAGACTTTTTGGAGAAAGGTCAATGCCAGAGCTTAGGGATGGGCAGAACAGAATGAAGAGATTCCTACTTTGGGAATTTTTTTTTCCTTTTCTTCTTTTTTTTTGAGAGCTATCTCAATCTAACTGTGGGTGTAAGAGCATGGAAGCCAGAGTAACTCCCTGATT